AGTGCAATATCTGTCAGTGTAACAGGTGAACGATACCAGGAGTTCATGTTATCATAGTGCCTGAACACCTTTAGGATACATGTCTTCACAACTTTTCTGCAAAGGGGAACAGTGCTGTTCTCTGTTTTGTAGATTCATCACTGAGACAGCAAGGGCCAGATTTTTAAATGTTCTAAATTCTTCAAAATGCAGATAATTTTCTAGGGGAGTATTAGGTATTATTTTCCAGTTACCAGCTCCCAGCTGAAATATAGTACCTGACTAAAGCTGCTGGGCTGCTGTGGCCATTGTTGCATACCAAGAACCTCAGGTTGTTTCTCATCAGACTAGCTCCAGCGTCAAAGCAGCCTCAGCAGTGTAGCAGAACTGAACTACATCTGATTTAATACTTTATTGAGATTATGCTCTCAGGCCAAGCTACTGTGTCCTCTGTGTGCTATGCTGCAGGGGAAGCAGAGAAGATGGGGAAGACTGGTGTTAGCTTTGTTTTCTCTTGGCCATGCTGCCATGCATGTTGTAGAGGTATTTTGAGGTGCCTTTAAACTCGATCAAGATCCCAGTAGACATCTTTAACAGAGCAAAGATCTACATTACTATTTCTTGACCTATCATCCTTCCTCTCTTGCATAAAGAAAATAAGTTGCAGGTGTCTTTTTAAGCTGATACTCCATTTGCCAGGAAAACACAAAGCCTATGAATCAGGCTTTTAAATTAAAACTGTAATATGGCATGATAAAAGATGGTAGTTTAATACATTATCTAGCATTTCCTTCTAAATCTGTTGCTTCATGCTGCTCCGGACAGCATAAGAGAAGGTGGAAATAGCTCTAGAGCTGGAGATTTTGCCAGCCTGAGCAAGCTGGCATAATAGCTCTGTGCCAGCCCTCCTCCAGTGTCTAGTGCTCGAGGCTGGCCAGGATCAAAAATGAAGATGAAGGGATAGACAGGAAAGGGTGTCTCCAAAACGTATCTATTTTCTACTTTCCATTAGTCTCTAAGGAAGGATGGAAATTGGGAGAACAACTGCAGGGAATTGTGAAGTTACATATTTCTAATAGTCTATTCCAAGGCTACTTAGCCTAAAAGCCACTTTTTATGCATGACCTAATTTCTGTTCCAAGTACAAGTGTAATATATTACACATCTGCAGGCCATTTCTAGGATCTGTGACAATATAAGTTATTGAAGCCACCCAAGGTAAGTGAGAGTGCCAGGTGTGTATTTTGTTCTTTCCTAGCCATGGCTTGACATTTTTGATTGCAGCATTCTTTGTTCACAATTAATGATGAGTCCAGGAAAAGGTCAGAGCAATGATTGCCTCTTATGGTTTGGGATGCTGAAAATATGGACTTACTTTATTTCACGGTATTTAAATTGTTGCTGATCTGACTTGTGATGGAGGGAAATTCACCTGGAACTAGTGTGCTATTTACAGGAACGTATGCATTAAATTAGTGTAAATAAAACTTTCTGACTCATCAGAAAGCTATTTGGGTTACTCTGCTTTTGGAAGCCATCCAGGTGTAATCAAATTAAAGCATCTCATTACTTCATATTCCACAGTCAAGCCAGAATTTAAGTACATTGGCAATATGCATGGAAATGAAGTTGTGGGGAAAGAACTGCTAATATACCTCGCACAGTATCTGTGTTCGGAGTATCTTCTTGGGAATCCTCGCATCCAGACCTTGATTAATAACACCAGAATTCATCTCCTACCTTCACTCAACCCTGATGGGTATGAACTGGCTGCAGAAGAGGTAAAAGACTTTTTATAAGTAGACGTTCAGTTCATTGCTTCATGTTTCTAAAATTCCCTACAGAAAAGGACAAACTGGGAGGGGAATGTCACATATGGGAAGGAGTGTTAATAATCGGCAGCCAGAATCCCAGGCTGGTTTGGTGGTAGGTTGCTTTCCAAAGATGATGTGAATGGAGCTAAGGAAATCAGAGCCACGTTTGTCATTTCTGCTGCCTGCATGCAATGACGTGGGAATGACTGTGTTACTTTTTCACACATTTAACACTCTCTGCTATCAGTTCTAGAACAAAATGCCCACTGACTCACTGTAATGACTGTTAAATTATTTTATAAAGAAACGTAGTTTAATACTGTGGAATAAGTATTCTTCCTCTTGTAGAAGAGCAGGTATAATAAAATGTGAATATGTTCTATACTGTCATGCTTTAATAATGGATGGCAGTTTTCAGAGATCAGCTGGTGTCTGAAGGAGTGAAAGCAAAACTTCTATTATATGTTACCTGACATTCTTCTTTTCACCTCACTTTCATCACCACCACCATTAGCATGAAAATAGGACCTTTCTTTTCTGCGTTGCTCATGTGGTGAGCTCTGTCTGGTATATGAGTCTGGGGTTTTTGCATTCTTGACTTGGAGCATCAGCTGTATTTTCTTTTTCTCCTCCTCTAACCCACTGTGCATGCTGCTCTGTGCTGAGTAAGAAGCTGCTGTATTCCTCTCATGAGTCACATCACTGGTGAGTGAAATGCTTCCTGCATGCTAGTTAGTGCATTAGCGTTCGTGGGGATAAAAAATGATTAATAAGTGTTGTTTTTTAACAGTATAGACATTTTCAGTTTACTTCTTTTAAAACTTCCCCTTGATTAAAATGGCCTTTTAAACAATTTCCACAAAGTGATATTTTGGGACAGGAAGGTATTCTGAGGTTGGCTTCTATGTTACAAATTAGGGAGCTGGTTACAATGGATGGGTCATTGGACGACAGACAGCTCAGAACTTGGACCTGAACAGAAATTTCCCTGATTTGACGTCTGAGGCTTACAGAAGAGCTGGGATTCGTGGGGCCCGCCTTGACCACATCCCCATTCCACAATCCTACTGGTGGGGTAAGGTATGAATTACAGATTTTATAAATCACATATACTACAGAGCAACTCAGGAATTAAGAAACTTAGATTGCTTCGTCTGAAGTTATTTCGTGCTAAACAGATTTTATAAGTAGGACTAAACTGGACAGGCTCAGAATTGGCATGAGAAGTCATGGTGTAGGTCTGGCCAAAGAGGCAGATGTCACAAATCATTGGGAAAGTTTGTGGATAATTTGGATTTTGCTATTTCAGATTAAGAATAATAACTGTTAGGAGGGGGTCATGAGTGTGTAATGATTCATCATTAGTGATTTAAACTGTGGTAGCATGTTAAAGACTTTATGGACTTGGCTCTCATTGCACTAAGCTCTGCACAGGTTTGATGCAATAGTGATTTCTGCCTTGGAAAACATACAAAGGCCTCGTGAAGTTGTGTAGCATCAGCTTTCCAGAAAAAGGATGGTTATAAATGACCGTAACCAGCTGAAGCAATGGAAGCAGCCTGTCAGGCTGCAGTGGTGCTGGAAGGGAGAGTTGCTGCTGCCTCCAGTCCTGGGGAGCAGGATGGAGGCAGCACTGTAGGGCTTCATGCTCATCATCACTAAGCTTCATGTTGTGTGATGTCCAGGAATGCAAAGCTCAGTCCTACCTGTGTCGCTGGCAGCCTGGCAGGCCCTGATACTAGCAACTCTCATTGGAACTTAGTTTGCCTTAAAAGAAGAAACACAGGAAGCCAAATGTCTTCTGCTTTTAAACTCATTTTATTCTAATTCAATTTTTGTTACTAGCACAAAGCCTCAGACAGGTGGGGATCAGGGTTGTTTCAGCAGCTGGTGTGTTAGCAGATTTGAAAGACCATACTTCAGTTTTCTACTTTGCTGCCGGTGATCTCATATGAGGCCAGGTCTAAATGCCAGATGCATCTCTGATGCTGCCCCAGTGTTTTGGTGCCCTGCTTCACAGTAGTGAAATCTGGATAAAAGCATCTCCCTTTCTCAGGATAATGTGCATATGAAGATGCAAGGCTGTGAAAACTCAATAATGTACATTGTATTAGAACACTGATTTTCGATATAACTATGCTCAAGAAGTTTATTTTATGCATGGAATCGTACAGATCCCAGCTCATGTCACTAGATTTCTACATGGGTATAAGGTCACAGGCATAATAGTTTCCAACTTTTGAGTGAATAATAAGAGATAACAGTAAGCTGGTAAATGCAAGTAGAGTGCAGAGCCTCAGATGGGAAAGAAGGGTTGAGAGTATGCGGAGCAGAGCCTGAGGTCAAATGAAAACAGCTGAAAAAGAAGGGGATTTTAGGAGAAAAGTGTAGAGAGATAATAGTTTTGGTTCACCCCATTTGTGCATTGTAGTTTTCATGGCTGTACATCTAAGAACCACGTGTAGGTACCCAACTGAAAGTTTTCTTCAACAAATTAATGCTGTATGAATGAATATGAAAAATCTCAGGAGCAGGGTTAGGCGCAGCCTTGCAGATACCTGGCATGAAGCCACATTGTTTGCAGAGGGAATCTGAGCGCTCCAGGTTTGAGCTCTGAGCTGGCTGCACTACGGAGTCTTACCTGGTCTCCCAGTGGGTTTGCTTTCCCACATAGAACTGAGGCTTGGAAACATCCCTGTTCTCTTTTTAAGAAACCCTCTTCCTCATCCTCTAAAGCCAGGACTTAGCTGGGGATGCCTTTGTTTCACAGCAATTCTCTGAAGATGGCTCACTTTAATTCAGTATCTGTCATCTTGTTCCCATACAGCAAAACAAGATTTTTCAGTTAGTCAGGAACCTGCCAGCTTTTGTAACATAAAGTAATGTTTACTCAGAAGAACATGCTAAATCAAAAATATATAATAAAACAACAGTCATTAGAAAAATATGTATATGTTTCTAGGTTACTGGGAGTCACTGTGCTATTTCAGACCCTCTTGTATAGCCCATTTCTCTTGGTCACAGCTTCTCACTGGGTTCCTGATTTGGGAGCAAGTGGTGTCTTGCTCTCAACCTTGTCAAGATCAGCCATTCCATGCAATTGCAGGTCTGTTAGCTGCCAGACTTTTTGGCCCACATCAACGTATGTGCTTCCCTGGGGGAGATGCTTACAGGGAAATGTTCCCTGTCTTAGGAACATGAATTCACAGTCACATACTTCAGTTCTTGCCAAGGTTCAGCCACCAAGCACTGTCACCAGCCTGTACACAAAGACATGGCTGATGAGTCAAATTGTGTATGTAACATCTCATTTACCAGACAGAATCCTTTCTTTGCATGGCCTTTTGTAGAATCAGTAGTGAGGGTGCCAGTCTCCTGGGAGCACTTTCACAGGCTGTATTGTCCCCTGAGCTATGTGCAGACAGGCTACAGGAGTGCCTGGCATGCCTAAAAAAGTCATTGAAAATGCCTTTGGTTTTCTGTGGAGGTTTCCAAAAGCAAAATGCTTTTGCCGTTTTTGGACTGGATGTAGTGGCTGAGCATCAGACTCTGAGGTATGAAGGAGAGGATGGAGATCTCCCTCCAGCCACGTGCTCACTCTCTCTCTGTGTCCAGAGGTTCAGGGTTGAAGGCCCAGACACTGCTGAGGAAGGACAAACATGGCTTTGACCCCTCTTTGTGCCACGGCCCAGTACAAGCAGAGAGCTTGTCTCACACTGTGCAGCCCAGAGTCCCTGTAACTCTCTGGATTTTCTGGCTCTAACCTCCCCACTCCCTCTTCTGAGTCCTGCTCCTGCCCTGGTTCTTCTCATGGTCTTTGGGATGGTCAATGGTAGGCAGCCACTCGCAGAAGTCATTTTTACAACCATGTATTTAGCTTTCTTAGACGCTGTCTAACATCATAGCAGTTTATAGAAGGCTGGATGGAGACAGCCTAACATTTCTCCCACAGTTACCCCCACTGCTGCGTCCAGCTCTGCCCCAGCTGCAGCATGCTGGTCACCCTGGGGAGTCTGTCCCCACAGACAAGGGACCAGGAAGCCTTGGCACACAACCACCCTCTGGCTGAACGCTGCCTCAGTGGGTGCAGACTCGGGGTTATAAATACATCCCTTCACCTGCAAACCTTTTCTTGTTTTTGAAGAAGAAATTGAAATAAGGTGGTGATCCAATGATTCATTCCTCACAGCACCAAGCCTCAGGGAACCTCCAGATGTTCTCCTGACCCTAAAATGGGTCCTGACCTAAACAAAACTCAAAGCATCTCCAAATCTATATGCTTTGTGGAACAAATGAGGGAACCAATTTGCCTGTGACCTGGATGGCACCACAAAATCTCCTTGATGACTGCAGTTTGCCATGGTTCAGAAACCTGGCAGTAAGCAGTCTCGCAGCCTCGAGTCTCCTCCACCGGTGGTATCACAGGACAGCCAAATCAGCTCTCCTATAATGAACTTCAGTTTTGTCAGGCAGATGAACCCATGGCTCTACAGTAGCTGGCTTTGTGCATGCAAAAGCATTAGATTGGATGTTTCAACACGAGCCTCTCAGCTTTCATTTGCTTAATAGTGTTTATTACCTGCCTTATTAAAGTAATTATCTGAGTATTGCAGGGCATTGTATAAAGATCAGAAAATGGAAAGCGAGCTCCCAGCCAACCCCATAAACTCAGGAGAGCTCCTGCCTCCCTGTAACCCTTGCTGTACAGCGTTTTGTTCCCTGCTATTATGAATTATTGTAATAAGTGGTCTGAGGGCTCAGACTGAGAGACTTCAGGCTTCATCTGAAATGAAGTCAGTTAAATTGGCTTGATTCAAACAGAATTTGGAAGTCTGTGCCAGTGGAGGCTGACAGTAAAAGAAATCTTTGAAAGCCATACAGACAGTGACTAATTGCAGTATAATTGACAGAAATGAGATTCAGGTTTAAAAAGGGTAGTGGCCATTCCCTGTACTTACGGAGAAGTAATTTAGCTGTTTTCTAATTGTACCCCAAATTGTTCTTGTGAGATGGGTACTTTAAAATTGATCTCTGACTAAAAAGCAAGAGCCCTGGTGGAAAAAAAAAAAAAAATCAAACCCGCAAAACCCACATTAAAGGAAAAGTCTATGAATAGTCAAAGGCCAGAGTGACACAGATAGCATCTGATATCATCCATTGGAGCTGAACCAGGATGTGCACATTTCAAAGCCTTAATCACTGTACATGATGTCAATGAAATGCTATTAGGATAAAAATAGTGACACTGAAACTCCTGATTTTCCACAACATTCACTTCAGTAAGACATTGTCTCTGTGACACAGCAGTGTCTTGTGGGTTGTGCAGGTATCTAGTGAGCAAGTTGGCTAATCAGGGGGAGGGACTGAATTTAGGAGCTCTCTGAGTAAAACTGTGCATTTCACCCTTGCCCACTGAATTGCAGAAGCAACCTAAAAATCTTATCGAGGCCCGAGATTCCTGTTTGAAAGCAGGGCTGATTCTGGTGTCAGGCATGCCCCCGCTGGCTGGGCAGCGGGAGCTGGGGCAGCTGCTGGCAGGGCAGGGAGCTGCTGAGAGTTTGGGGCAGCATCCTCCTGGGGGGTGCTGGTGCTGCAGGGCTTGGAGGATGCAGGCTTGTTACCAGCTCCTCAGCCATCCTGCAAATCCCGAAGCATGGTCCCATGGGGCGGGCAGTGCTGCTTGCAGCCCTTTACAAGCCACCTGGGGTTTTCTGCTCTTCAGAAGAGATGGGCTCAAAGGAAGAACAAAGCACTTTCAGGGTTCAGCTGAGAGTGGCTGGTTCAGTCCCAAATTCCCTTGGGATAAAGGTCATTATCAGACCATCCCAGCCCACTGTACAAAGACCAGAAAAGTAAATACTTTGGCCGATGCAGGTAGTGTTCTTCGGACACTGCCAGGTTCTTTGTCATGAAGCCTGGTGGGCTGTTTCCTTCTCCAACCTCTGTGTTGTGTGAATGGGTGTGTGAGGCTGCAAAAAGCACAGAGCGTTTGTCCTTTCCTTTTGGAATGTCCTTTATCTGCCTCTTTAAAAATGTTTTTCAGGTCATGCCCTTCCTGGAAAGTCTGTGTCTAATCTTCC